AGTCTGTTTAGTGACCGTTCGTAGTTACAACGGCCTTGAAAAAAGTGACTTGCGACCGTTTTTCACACTTAGGACCGTCGCATTATCCCCATGGTCAAAATTCAGATGCTTTGGCAACTGACTCATAGTTAATGACGGTCGCAGTGTCCCGGGGTTGTGTGTTCCTCTTTTTGCAACCTTCTGACAAGCAGAGTCAATAAGGGAAGCCAGATTCACTTAACAACCGTGTTACCAACTGACCAAGTGGAGGGATTCACTTAACAACGGTGGCTGGAAAGATGGGGCAAAACTCAAGAAACTTCTCACTTAGCCAGAGAAATTTTGGGCTCAGTGGTGGTCGTACGTCGAGGACTACCTGTGCTCTGAGATTGGCAGCCTGTTTGTCTTTCTCTCCTCTGGATCTGGAACTGCAGGAGCTCCTGGCTTGGAAAAGAGGGAGGGAGAAAATTGGGAATTCTTCCTTTTGGGAGCAGCCAGAGGAAGTTAGCTGAAGCCTGCCACGGATTTTAACACCACGGTGTCCCTCCCACCGGCAATGGCTTGGCCATTGGCTCTCCCGGCCTAGCGGAGGAGGCTTTGAGGCACCCAGCTGACCACGCCTGCCTTTGGAGGGGGGGGGGGGAAATGTTATATTTTTTTCCCCTTTTCAGTCGGTCGCTGGAACCTCGGGAAGCTAAACGCTTCCAGGCTTCTGTGCATGACAGCTCGAGATTTAGAATGCCTGCTGCGTAGCACGCATGTGCTTTGGCAGGCATGTGCATGCCACATTGTTCTCCAAAAAAGAAAAAAGAAAGAAAGAAACACACCACCCCAAACCCCAAGTAAAAACAGTGTGCCAGGAGTCTGCAGATTGGATGCCAAGCCGAGCAGAATCTGGTAAACAGCATAAATCACTCAGAAAACGCCTGCATAATTGCACAATTTTAGTTCCCTTCGTTTGGGGCCTCTTTTTATTTTTTCTTTTCTCCTTTCCAAAACGCACTTTCAATTTTTTAAAAAACATTTTTTTTTTCTGGCTCTATTGAATTGGCTACGATCTCTGGCTTGGAGAAGCTGCAAAAGCGGGAGAGGAATCCTAAGTGGGAACTTAACAGCCGGAGCGACCCAAGTTTCTAGTTCTCATCAACGAAGGCGCGAGGAACTCTTCCTCTGCGTTAGAGGAAGAGTCGGATCAACATGGAGCTGCAGAACCTTTAGTGTCGATTTCATTGAGGGCCGCATCAGGGTTGTGTTTGACCTTGGGGGGGGAGCCAGGGGGGGGACACGGCCAGCTCGTCATCAGTCTTGTCGGGGGCACCTGTGGTGGGCCACGTGGTCTGCCAGCGAAAACAGGCTCCCAAGCTCCGTTTTCGGCTGCGACGGCCTCCTGCATCCCTCTGCCAGCGGAAAAGGAGCTCGGGAAGGCTGCAGGTGGCTCTCTCGAGCTCCATTTTCGCTGGCCGAGGCATCCTGGGCCTTGAGTTGACACCACTGGTTTAGTGGTTCTACATTTTGACACACTTTTAAAAGGTCTGTCTAAAAATGGGAAGCTCTGCAGGTGCCTCTGGAGTTATACAGGTAGTCCTCGACTTACAACCGCTTGTTTAGCAACCGTTCGAACAGAAACTGAAAAAAAGTGACGGTTGTTAAAGTGAATCGCAGCATTTGTTAACTTACTAACACGGTCGTTAAAGCGAATCCGGCTTCCCCCATTGACGCTGCTTGTCGGAAGGTCGCAAAAGGGGATCCCACGACCACAGACACTGCGACTGTCATAAGTATGAGTCAGTTGCCAAGCGTCTGAATTTGGATCACACGACCGCGGGGAATGCTGCAGCGGTCGTAAAGTGTGAAACACGGTCATAAGTCCCTGTTGCAACTTGGAACGGTCACTCAATGAGCTGTTGTGAGTTGATACTCCCTGTATTACTATTGTTTATTAGATTTTTGGCAAAATTTTTGGCAGGTAATTTTTTTAAAAAATGCCAATATTCTCCTTGCTGGAGAATGAAGTCCTGTGTGCTGACTGGCAAGATGGCAAGATAGCATCAAATGTCCCCCAGCTTGGTCTACTTTGAAGGGCTCATTAAATTAAATTGCTTCGTTGCTGGATTCCAAGTAGAACGGAGCCCTTCCCTGAAATGGTATTAATTAACCAAGTATTTCTCAACCTGAGCAACTTGAAGACGTCTGGACTTCAACTCCCAGAATTCCCCAGCCAGTTTTCCTTCAATGTTTCCTAGTGTTATTGTTGTTCTATCTCAGCTGTTGTTTACCTCAAACTTGGAAACTGATATAACCTCCGCTTCCAGAAAGTTAAAGTGACAATTAGGGAGATTGCAGAACTAGAACTCACCGTCTCCTGGTGATTGGCCCAATGTCACCCAGCCGGCTTTCATGCCTAAGGTGGGACTAGAACTCACCGTCTCCTGGTGATTGGCCCAAAGTCATCCAGCCGGCTTTCATGCCTAAGGCGGAACTAGAACTCACCTTTTTCTGGTGACTGGCCCAATGTCACCCAGCCGGCTTTCATGCCTAAGGCAGGACTAGAAGTCACCGTCTCCTGGTGATTGGCCCAAAGTCACCCAGCCAGCTTACATGCCTAAGGTAGGACTATAACTCACGGTCTCCTGGTGATTGGCCTAAAGTCACCCAGCCAGTTTACATGCCTAAGGAGGAACTAGAACTCACCATCTCCTAGTGATTGGCCCAAAGTCACCCAGCCGGCTTACATGCCTAAGGCGGAACTAGAACTCACGGTCTCCTGGTGATTGGCTCAAAGTCACCCAGCCGGCTTTCATGCCTCAGGTGGGACTAGAACTCACCATCTCCTGGTGATTGGCCCAGTGTCACCCAGTCGACTTTCATGCCTAAGGCAGGACTATAACTCCACCATCTCCTGGTAATTGGCTCAAAGTCACCCAGCCGGCTTTCATGCCTAAGGCAGAACTAGAATTCATTGTCTCCTGGTTATTGCCCCAAAATCACCCAGTGATCGTCATTCAGCAATCCCAGGATTCCAGAGGTAGTTTTGTGGCTCGCGCTGAAGCAACAGAGTTGTCTAAACAAGCCATCATGGGCCAGTTGGCACATTGCGTGAGGCTGCTGTGCCAAGCGGGTGCTTTGAAGCCGCATTTCAGAGCTGGGCAGGGCCGGGCCCTGCTTCCAAAGAGGTGTTTAAGAATATTAATGGGATGTTATAACAGTGTTTCTCAACCATGGCAGCTCTAGGAGGTGTGGACTTCAACTCCCAGAATTCCCCAGCCAGCAAAGGATTCTGGGAGTTGAAGTCCACATATCTTAAAGTAGAAAACTTTGAAAAAACTTGATCCAGATTGCGGAAAGGTATTCAGCGTTTCACCTCAGGAAGTGCCTTTTTTTCCACCCCGCAAGGGTGTGGTTTGGTTCCCTGCCTGTAAAGTACAGCTAGTCCTGGACTTACGACCAGACTATGCCCTGCTAAGCAAAGTGGTTGTTAAGTGAATTGTGCCCAATTATGACCTTTTTGGTCATGTTTGTTAAGCGAATCTACAGTAGTTACAGTGGTCATTAAGCAGATCCGACTGCCTAACCAGAAAGCAGTTCAGAAACGATGATGGAAAGGAGAGTGCGCATCTCGGAGAAGTTTTGCATGAGAGGATAAGCCTGTTTTGAGTATAAAATTGGTTGTGTGAATTGTCTTTGGAAGCAAGAAATGAAAAATGAGCCTGAGTTTTGCAGATAGCAGGATGCTGGATGCAGAATAGCAGAGTCGAAGGAACCCTAGAGGTCTTCTAGTCCAACCCCCTGCTCAAGCAGGAGAACCTACACCAGACAAAGAGTTGTCCAGTCCAGTGGTGAAATCTGAACCGGTTTGCCACCGGTTTGCTGGCTGCACGCCATGCACTGTGCATCAAATGCACGCGCACCCATGCGCAGTATTGCACCAAAAGGAGGCTTGGGAAGGTAAGTAGAGCAGCAACGGGGGGGGGGGATCAGCTCTGCCGCGCAATTAGGTTCACTAGAAAACAGAATTTCTTGCTTTCTAGCAGTTTTAAACCGCGTGGCACAGCTGATGATTGGAAATACCGGTTTGGAGGAATCGGTAGCTTTTTTTTTACTACCAGCTCACCCGAACCGGTGCGAACCGGTAACATTTCACCACTGGTCCAATCTCTTCTTAAAAACCTCCAGTGTTGGAGCACCCACAACTTCTGGAGGCAAGGAGTTCCACTGGTTAATCGTTCTCGCCGTTAGGGAATTTCTCCTTCATTTAAATTGGCTTCTCTCCTTGATTAGTTTCCATCCGTTGTTTCTTGTATGCGTGGTGGTCCATAGAGGTTTAATTTAATTTAATTTAATTTAATTTCCAATTTATATACCGCCCTTCTCCCTGAGGACTCAGGGCGGTGTACAGCCAAGATAAAAAACATAGAATACAAATATTAAAAAACATTTAAAAATATATATAAATTTTGGCCCGAAAGTTAAGAAATCACAAACTAATTAAAAGAATTTAAAAATTTCTTCTTAAGCCAACCCGGCTTGCTGGAAAAGATGGGTTTTAAGGGCACGGCGGAAGGCACTGAGGTCTTGGATTCTCCTTATCTCTGGGAGCAGCTGGTTCCAGAGGGTAGGTGCCCCCACAGAGAAGGCTCTCCCCCTGGGGGTCACCAGCCTACATTGTTTGGCTGATGGCACCCTGAGGAGGCCCTCTCTGTGGGAGCGCACGGGTCGATGGGAGGTCGTCGGTAGCAGCAGGCGGTCTCGCAGATAGCTAGGCCCTATGCCATGGAGCGCTTTAAAGGTGACAACCAACACCTTGAAGCGCACCCGGAAGACCACCGGGAGCCAGTGCAGCTCGCGCAGGAGCTTCTTCTCAGGGACTTCTCCCTTAGACTTGTGAGAAGGTCATCAAGAGAAGTTGGCCCTCCAGAGGTAGAGATTCCAGAGGGGCTCATTCATCAGATCCTCGGCAGGGTTGGGGGTTGCAAGCAATGTGGCTTTGATTGACACTTCTTTTTCCCCTCTGTGTCCTACAGAAAGCCAACGGAGAAGGCAGGAATTGACGAAGTCATGGCGGCCGCGGTCCTCACCAGCCTGTCTACGAGTCCCGTGGTGCTGGGCCATCAGCCCAATGGCTTCAGCGCAGGTATTCCTGAGCTGGGAGGGGGAAGAGGTCGCTCTGGCTTGATGGAGGTTTGACACACAGGTAGTCCTCGCCTTATGACCGCAGTTGAGTCCAAAATTTATGCTGCTAAGTAAGAGATATTTGTTACCTTCGTTTTGTTACCAATTTTACGACCTTCCTTGACGCCGTTGTTAAATGAAACGCTGCAGTTGTTAAGTTAGTAAGACGGTTGTTCAGTGAATCCGGCTTTCCCTGTTGACATTATTGATCAGAAAATCGCAAAAAAAAAAAAAAAAGGAGATTGCATGATCCCCGGGGACGCTGCAACCGTCATTGCCCAGTGTCTTAAATTTTGATCAGTGGGAGATGAGGATGTCGTAAAGGTGAAAAAATGGCGGCCCTTCAGTCACTTTTTTTCCCAGTGCCTTGGTAACTTTGAATGGTCACTAAATGAACTGATGTAAGTCGAGGACTACCTGCACAGTCCCGCCTTCCCTTAAGGCAGTGTTTGTCAATCTTGACAAGTTGAAGATGGGTGGACTTCAACTCCCAGAATTCTCTTCTGGTCTTAAGACTGGCAGGAGGTGGGCAGGTGTGGCCCCTTTAAGACCTGTGGACTTTAACTCCCAGCATTCCTGAGCCAGCCCAGGAATGCTGGGAATTGAAGTCCACAGGTTTGGAGTGTGATATAAAGCAGGGGTCTCCAACTTTGGCAACTTTAAGACTTGTGGACTTCAACTCCCAGAATTCTCTTCTGGTCTTAAGACTGGTAGGAGGTGGGCAGGTGTGGCCCCTTTAAGACCTGTGGACTTCAACTCCCAGCATTCCCAGGTATGGCCCCTTTAAGACCTGTGGACTTCAACTCCCAGCATTCCCAGCCCAGGAATGCTGGGAATTGAAGTCCACAGGTTTGGAATGTGATATAAAGCAGGGGTCTCCAACCTTGGCAACTTTAAGACTTGTGGACTTCAATTCCCAGAATTCCTCAGCCAGCAAAGCTGGCTGAGGAATTCTGGGAGTTGAAGTCCACAAGTCTTAAAGTTGCCAAGGTTGGAGACCCCTGATAGAAAGTGTGTATCAACTGTGGATCTGTTTTTGTCTCTTGCTTACTATTCCCAACTCTCGAATAACAGTCTCAAACTAGGATTTGGGCCGGCGAGAATATTTTCCACCCGAGCCAAAATAAATAAATAAATAAAGATATTAAAGTTCTAAATATAAACATCTGTCATGCCGTATGTGTTGTTTATGACTCTTGGCTGGTTTTGTGAGCTTTTGTTATTTATAGGTTCCCCGACCATTTAAAACCAAAAAACAACAACAAAAAACACCCCACACCAATCCCAAAAAAACATTTTGGTGCCTCGGGGAATAAAAATAACAAGTCTGAAGGACCCAAATTGAAGATGCAAAAAAAAAATAATAAAAAAAAAAATGCAGGGAATAAGAGTGGAATTAAAGATGTGTTGTTGTGGTGTTTTGTGATACGAGGGAAAGCTTCCTGGTGCTAAGATCTGTCACTGAATAACAGAATAAGAGAATTGGAAGGGACCTTGGAGGTCTTCTAGTCTAACCCCCTTCTCAGGCAGGAGGCCCTACACCATTTCAGACAAATGGCTGTCCAATCTCTTCTTAAAAATTTCCAGTGTTGGGGCATTCACAACTTCTGGTGGCAAGCTGTTCCACTGATGAATTGTTCTCACTGTCAGGAAATTTCTCCTTAGTTCTAAATTGCTTCTCTCCTTGATTAGTTTCCATCCATTGCTTCTTGTCTTGCTCTAGAACAGTGATGGCTAACCTTTTTGCGATTGCGTGCCAAAAGTGGGGGGAGTGCGGGGGGGGTCGCGCGTGTGTTTGCCCACACCCATAATTCTATGTGTCCCGCCCCTGCGCATGTGTGTGCGCCCCCCCCCCCCCCCGCGTTTCCCCTGTTTTTGGGACCGTGGGCCCGATAGGCCCGTTTTTCTCCCTCCCCAGGCTCCAGGGCTTTTCTAGGAGCCTGGGGAGGGTGAAAACGGCCTTCCCCCTCCCCCCGGAGGCCCTCTGGAGGCCGGAAGTGGCCTGTTTGACAACTTTCAGTGGGCCCAGAAGGTCCGAAAATCAGCTGGCTGGCGCGCGCATGTGCGCCAGAGCTGAGCTCATGTGCCCACCGATATGGCTCCGCGTGCCATAGCTTCGCCATCATGGCTCTAGAACCTTTTCTGGAAAGTTATCATGGAGAGATCCAACTTAGAGCTAAGGAGAAATTTCCTGACAGTGAGAACAATTAATCAGTGGAACGACTTGCCTCCGGAAGTTGTAAATGCTCCAACACTGGAAGTTTTTAAGACGAGATTGGACAGCCATTTGTCTGAAATGGTACAGGGTCTCCTGCCTGTGAAGGGGGTTGGACTAGAAGACCTCCAAGGTCCCATCCAACTCTGTTATTCTATTCTAAACCCAGTTCCTGCAACCGTTCTTCCTATCTTTCCAGGCCTTTTAACCATAGTGTCCTGGGGTTCATATTAGTGGTGGGTTCTTCCCGGTTTGGTCCGGTTCGGCCAAGCCGGTAGCGGTGACGATATGATGTCACGGAACCGGTTTTCCCCCCCCCCCGCCCTCCCACCCCCCACCCCCAATCTATTCTTACCTTTTATTTGGCCCCACCCCCAATCTATTGCTGCCTCCTGAGTCCCAGCTGAAGACTTGAGGGAAAAAACCTGTTTAAACTTTTGCCGCGGGGCTTCAAAGGGCCGCCCTACAGCTGATCAGTGTTAAAAGCAAACAAATGAGTCGGGTCGTAAGTGCGAGGACTGGTCGTAAGTGCGAGGACCTTCCAGAAATGACTCTGACCAGCTAGCCACGCCCACCTAGTCACATGACCTCCAAGCCACACCCACAAAATAAGCCGCGCCCACAGAACCGGTAGTAAAACAATTTAGAACCCACCCCTGGTTCATATGCTCCCCTTCTGTGACCTCCCGACAAGCAAAGTCAATGCTGCGGCCAGATTCCCTTAACAGTCACGTCCCTAACTCAACAACGGCAGCGATTCGCTTAACGACGGTGGCAAGAAAAGTCGTAAAACGGGGCAAAACTCACTTTAACAACTGTCTCGCTCAGCAGTGGAAATTTGGGCCTCCGTTGTGGTCGCAAGTCAAGGACTTCCTGCAGCTAGTTGAGTCTGGTTGTTTCATGCCAGACACCTTCTGATCAGGGGTGAAATTAAATTAAATTAAATTTCCCCTACCGGTTCTGTGGGCGTGGCTTGTTGGGGGAGGTCATGTGACTGGGTGGGCGTGGCCAACTCGACATCACTCACATCGAGGGGCTGCTCACCGGCCCCTCCCCTCCCAGCCACTCCTTGTTGCGAATGGCAGGAAAATGGGGAGGGGAATATTCCTGCCTACCAGCCTTCCCTTAGTCTGTTCTGAGATTGAGGAATGGACGACAGGCAGGAAAATCCCCTTCCCCATTTTCCTGCCTTTCACAAAAACGGCTCCATTCCAGCTGCTCCCCCTATTGCCCCCCTCCCTCCTGGGGACTACCTTAAAGGGACCGGCTGCAGCAGCTCCGTTCTGAATGGAGGGAGAAAAGTTAGCATTCTCTCTGGTGCATTTAACATTGAATTCTGTGGAATATCGAGCGGCCGGAAGAGGTGAGTGGCGACCGGCCGGGTGTGGGTGGGTAGGACCAAGGAGGGGTAATTGCTACCAGTTCGGCAAACTGATGCCCATAATCCCTAGTGGTTCACTCGAACCGGTAGGATTTCACCCCTGCTTCTGACCTCGCCACCTTCTGTTTTGTTTTGCGACAGAAATGAACTGTGACGGGTGGAAAGAAGCTCCCCTTAGGTCTTCCAGCTGCTCCAGCAGCAACCACAGCGGAGACGGGAGCTGGGATCCCCCGAGCGACCTTTCCACCCCCTCCACCCCTTCGCCGCCCCTGACCGCCGACATCACGACCAGCATCCTGTCTTCCCTGCAGTCCGACCTGGAGGAGACGGAAGCCACCCAGTTTCTCTTTGGGGAACCCGTGCCCAGGAAGAGGAAGGTGAGAAGGGAGGTTGACGGGGGTGGTGAGGAGACCTTTCCCGCTTTGAGCCTGTCGGAAGGCTGCCCGGTTGTTTTCTTCCTATGTAAGGGTATGTGAGGAAGACCTTGGGCAGGGGTGTCAAACTCAAGGCCTACAGGCCGGATCTGGCACGCGGGTGCTTACCGTATTTTTTGGACTATAAGACGCACCGAAGTATAAGACGTACCAAGATTTTGAAGAGGTAAACAAGAAAAAATATAGTTTTTGCCCTCCCTGGGCCCCAGGAAAACTCTGCAGAGTGCTCCTGGGGACTGGGGAGGGCGAAACTGCAACCCGTGGGGGGTTTGGGAGGCCAAAAACAGGGCAGTTTTTCATGAAAACGGGGTCCACAGAGGGTTTGGGAGGCCTGCAGAGTGTTCCTGGGGGTTGGGGAGAGCAAAAGCGCTCTCGTTTTTGCAAAAAACGGGTCCGTTTTTGGCCTCCCAAACCCCCCACGCATCACCTTTTTGCCCTCCCCAGCTCCCAGGAGCACTCTGCAGGCCTCCCAAACCGTCTGCAGGCTCCGTTTTTGTGAAAAATAGGCCTGTTTTTGGCGAAAACGGGACACGCGGGGTGGGGTTTCGGGAGGCCAAAAATGGCTGTATTCGGTGTATAAGACGCAGCAACATTTCCACCCTCTTTTTTGGGGGGACACAAAGTGCGTCTTATACTCCAAAAAGTACGGTAAATCTGACCCACGAGTCCGCCCTAGAAACAGCGAAGGACTGGCCCGCAGTGCCTCTGCCAGCAAAAAACAGAGCTCAGGGGGAGCCCATTTTCGGCCGTGACTGCCTCCTGCAGCCCTCTGCAGTGAAAATGGAGCCGGGGGCGGGGGCGCTCCATTTTGACTGACAGAGGTCTAGCAAAACAAACTAAACACAAAACAAAAGAAGAAATGTTTCCTGTTTTGCATTTGAGCATGTAAGAAGGGACAGGAAAGGAGAAAAGGAAAGACGAAAGAAAAAGAAAAGGGAAGATGGGAAGAGAACAAGGAAGGAAAAAGAAGGAAAGGGGACGGAAGAAGAAAGGAGAATGAAGAGGAAGGGAGGAAAGGAAAGGAAAGGGGAGGAAGGAAGGAAGGAAAGGAAGGAAGGAAGGAAGGAAGGAAGGAAGGAAGGAAGGAAGGAAAGGGGAGGGAGGGAAATGGGAATGGGAATGGGAAGACAGATAGGAAGGAAGGAAGGAAGGAAGGAAGGAAGGAAGGAAGGAAGGAAGGGATTATAATGAGAGGGAGGAAGGATCACAGGGAAGTCCTGCCTTAGCACTTGGCCACCATAGGTGCCCCCGACACAAGTAACGTCGAGCTGGCCACCCCCCCGAAACCCCCCACTCCCCCCACCCCAAGGTCGAACACAATCCTGATACGTCCCTTGATGATATTGAGTTTGACACCTGTGACCTTGGGAGGCCGGAGGAAGGGAGAATGACGAGATAAGAGACAGTGGAGCCCACAGCAGTATAATGGGAAGGCGGACCAGAGGCTCAGAAGGCACCCTCCCTAATTTCTTTTGAACTATTTTATTTTAAATTTTATTCAGAAGGTTAAGTTACAGGTAGTCCTCAGTTTACGACCACAATTGAGCATTGACATTTCCCCCGGCCTCATGGACAGTTGCTGTCTGTATAGTTTACTCACCGCCATACAGGTATGTCCTCGACTTAACGACTAGCCCATACATTCTGTTGTTAATGGAGAGTATTGCCCCGTTTTACGACCTTTTTTTTTTGCTTCAGTTGTTAAGTGAATCACTGCAGTTGATAAGTTAGCAACCCAGGTCGTTAAATGAATCCGGCTTCCCCACTGACTCTGCTTATCAGAATGCGGCACCAGATGATGACGTGACTCCGGGACACTTCAACCATCATACCTGTGAGTCAATTGTCAAGCACCTGAATGTAAATCACGTGACCATGGGGATGCTGCAACGGTCATAAGTCTGAAAAATGGTCGTAAGTCACTTTTTTTGAGTGAAATTGTAACTTCGGTCACTAAATGAACTGTTGTAAGTCGAGGACTACCTGTACAAGTAGTCCTTGACTTACAACAGTTTGTTTATTGCCCCTTCAAAGTTACAACGGCACTGAAAAAAGTGACTTACAGCCATTTTTCAGACTTACGACCATTGCAGCATGGGGAATTTACATTTGGATTCTTGGCAACTACTGGTTCCTATTTATGACCGTTGCTGTATCATGTAATTCCCCTTTGTGACCTTTTGACCAGCAAAGTCAACGAGGAAAGCCACATCCCCTTAACAACTGTGTCACTAACTTCGCAGCTGCAAAGGTTCACTTAACAACCATGGCAAGAAAGGTTGTAAAATGGGGCAGAACTCAGACAGATAAATAGTTGCCCAATCTCTTTTTAAAAACCAGTGGTGGAGCACCCACAACTTCTGGAGGCAAGTAGTTCCACTGGTTAATTGTTCTAACTGTCAGGAAATTTCTCCTTAGTTCCAAGTTGCTTCTCCCTTTCATGAGTTTCCATCCGTTGCGTCTTCTCCTACCTTCCGGTGCTTTGGAGAATAGCAACACCTGTTTCACTTGGCAACAGAAATTTTGGACTCCGTTGTGGTTGTAAGGTGAGGACTACCTATAAACTGAAACACAACATTCTTCTTGTCAAGGAAGTCCAACCGGTCGCTCATCGGTTCCATTATCTCCGAGTTTCTCTCTAGTTTCTTGGGCTGTAGAAGAGACGGCGGGAGAATTGTACTCGTAGATTGTAAGTCAGGTTGGTCAGGGATCTGAGCAGTGGTGGGATTCAGCCAGTTCGGCTCCTCCCCTCCCCACCCTTCCAGGAGTCCCCACACGCCCCATTTTGGCTCCCAGATAAATGCAGGGAGGCCTACTAGGCCCAAAACAGGGCGCAGGGAGGGGCGTGCCCCCCTGCGGCCCGTTTTTTCTCCCGGGGGGTGCAGGAGGCCGAGTACTGCCTGTCACACCCTGTTGTGACTCAGGCCCGAGTAAGTAGTAGGAAAATCAGTCAGTGAAAAAACAAACAAACAACTGAGAATTACTTCATTCCCAGCGTCGTTCAACTCAATTAAAGCAAATTCCTCCCAACACAAATTCCTCAGTCCTATCGCAAACCTTGGTCCAGTTAGGCAAACTGCCAAAGGCCTTTCTTGGCAAACGTTCAGAAGTCACGGATACAAAAATAAATACAAGACTTAGACGAAAAAGACGACGAAGCTACCAACGTTGTTTTCCGGAAAAGCCCAAATGCTGTTATTGGTTTGTTTTAAGCCTTATGGGAGGGGCTAATCATCTCTTGGCCTTACTCCCGAGTCGTCCTCTTTGCTTGAGCTGCTCTTGCCTTCTGGCAGCTCTTCTCATGCGTGTATTAGGAACAGGCTTCTCCTGTTCCTCTGCCTCTCTGCTGTCAGCCTCTGGAGGCTCCAGAGTCTGCACCTCACTCCCCGATGGCCCTGGCCCCATCTCTGCCTCCGACGCAGAGCCCTCATCCAGGCCTTCCCCAGCCTCCAGGACTGGCCCATCTTCTTCCTCAGCCTCATCGCTGTCCGACTCCGCTGCCAGCTCCGCAGGCTGTTGGCGGACCACAACACACACCCTTGGCCACGCCCACCATGGCCACGCCCACCCAGCTGGTCATTAGGGCAGAGAACCGGTTGTTAAATTATTTGAATCCCACCACTGAATCTGACCAATGGTAGAATTTGAATCTTCAAGAGGACCTTTGGGATTCTGAGACGGGATGCGTGGTCCATCTTGAGAGGCACCAGAGCTAAGCTGCATGTTCTCATGTTACAGAACTCCACAAAAGTGATGTTCAAGTGTTTGTGGAAGAGCTGTGGGAAAGTTCTCAGCAGTTCCTCAGGGATGCAGAAGCACATCCGAGCCATTCACCTGGGGTAGGTCAGCCTCTTGGTCATTTGGGGGGACACGTCTGTGTGGTGGCAGGCACGAATAGGTTGACTTTTTTAAAAAAATAAGTGTTATTAATTTTCTATGAATTACATTTCTTAGTGCTTAATAAACATCGTGTTGTCTGGGTACCGTATTTTTCGGACTATAAGACGCACCGGAGTATAAGACGCACCAAGTGTCAGCGTTCCAGAAAACCCTACTCCAATTAAAAACTCTGAGGCAAGAAGTTCTCAAAGTTCCATTTATTAGAGTAAATTAAAATTAAAAGGTTTAGGTTGATGCTGGGGCTCAACACCCCGGACAGCCCCCCTTTCGGGGTGCCGTTATTAATTTTAGGGATTCGGGTTAATGTCAGCGTTCCAGAAAACCCCACTCCAATTAAAAACTCCTAGCAGTCAAAGTTTATGCAAAGTAATTTCGAAGAGGAAAACACGGGGAAAAAAAATAGGTTTTGGCCTCTGCGCGCCCGGTTTTTGCCCTCCCCGGCCCCCAGGAGCACTCTGCAGGCCTCCCAAACCAGAGGTGGGTTTCAGCAGGTTCTGACCAGTTCTGGAGAACCGGTAGCGGAAATTTTGAGTAGTTCGGAGAACCGGTAGTAAAAATTCTGACTGGCCCCGCCCCCATCTATTCTCTGCCTCCCAAATCCCAGCTAATTGGGAGGAAATGGAGATTTTGCAGTATCCTTCCCCTGCCACGCCCACCAAGCCACATCCACAGAACCGGTAGTAACATTTTTTGAAACCCACCACTGTCCCAAACCCTCTGCGCGTCCCATTTTTTGGCCTCCCAAACCCCCCACGTGTCGCGTTTTTGCCCTCCCCAGCCTCCAGGAGCACTCTGCAGGCCTCCCAAACCCTCTGCGCATCCCGTTTTTGAGAAAAACAGGCCTTTTTTTTTTTTTGCGAAAACGGGATGCGTGGGGCGGGGTTTCAGGAGGCCAAAAATGGCCCTCTTTTGGGTGGGTGGGGGAAATGCATCTTATACTCCGAAAAGTACGGTATTTAATTTGCTTAGCAGTAGAGATTTTATTCTTACTCTCCACCCCTTTTTTCCAACCTCTGGTAAAATAGAGTCAATGTTTGATAGTATTTTATATCTTCTTTCTGTTTGATTTTCAATGTCAGTCTATCCATTTCTGCACAATCTGGTACCGTCTTCATTATCTCTTCGTCTCACGGTGTTTCTTCATTTTTCCAATATTGTGCGAAGGTAATCCTCGCTGCTGTTAAAACATGTAATATTACAGACACATACTTTTCTTATCAAATTTTTCTGATATCATCCCTAATAAAAAACAGTTCAGGTTTAAACTTTACATGTTTCCCTATTATCTTTCCTAGCCACCTGTGTATTATTGCCCAATATATATTTTGCTTTAACACAAGGCCACCACATATGATAAAATGTGCCCGTTTTTTTGATTGCCTTTCCAGTGTTTGCGAGACATATTTTTAAACATTTTGGCTAACCTTGCAGCTGGTAAGGCACGAATAGTTTGCCTTGTGAGAAGGAGTTACAGAGAATCTACCAACTGACTTCACACAACTAAGGCCTAATGCTGTTTGTTTTATTCTGCACCTGGCAGAATTAGGTCATGAGTCTGTTTGGTCCAGCATGCAGTGTCTTGTGGTAGCTACTGGATGACCTTCAGAAGCTCACCAAGTCTGGGTTGGGGGAAGGCGAGACAGAGCCCTTTTTCCACCAGTAAGACTAAAGTAACAGCTTAACAGAGTTGGAAGGGACCTTGTAGATCATCTAGTCCAACCCCCCTCCCCCACTCAAGCAGGAGACCCTACACCACCCCGACAAATGACAGTCCAGTCTCCCCTTGAAAGCCTCCAGTGATGAAGCTCCCTCAATTTCCAAAGGCAACTTCTGTTCCATTGGTTGATTGTTCTCACTGTCAGAAAATTTCCAGGTTGAATCTCTCCCTGATCAGTTTCCATCCATTATTCCTTGTCTGGCCTTCGGGTGCTGTACAAAATAGCTTGACCCCTTCCTCTCTGAGGCAGCCCCTCAAATATTGGAAGTCTGCTCTCCTGTCTCCCCTGGTCCTTCTCTTCACTAGACTAGCTAGGCCCAGTTCCTGCAACCGTTCATTGTATGTTTTAGTTTCTAGTCCCTTAATCATCCTGGTTGCTCTTCTCTGCACTCTTTCTAGAGTCTTAACATCTTTGTTATAGTGTGGTGACCAAAACTGGATGCAGAATTCTAGGTGTGGTCTTACTAAGACTTTATAGAGTGGTATTAGTACCTCACTTATGATTCACGGTTAGTAAAGAGCCTTCAATATTCACAGCCAGGGGCAACCTGATCTTCATGATTTTCCCTTTTGAAGCCATCTAGGTAGGCTTCCATTAGATCTGCCAGATGCTCTTTCCTGGGGAGGGCTATATGGGGAGGGGGGTGCCATGGTTGAGGGAACTCCATTGTTTATAGCCACTTGCCTTGCTTCCTTCGAGGAGGACATCTGAAGAAGGATCCACAAAGATTTCGAATGGTTGGGTAGGAAATTTGCCCAAATGGGAGTTTTGCATGGGCCAAGGACTACCAGTTTGAGATTATACTAGAAAGGAGGTTGAGATGATACCAGAAAAGAGAAAATTGAGATGGTACCAGAAAGGAGAAGGTTGAGATGATACTAGATAGGAGGTTGAGATGGTACCAGAAAAGAGAAGGTTGAGATGATACTAGATAGGAGGTTGAGATGATACCAGAAAGGAGAAAGTTGAGATGATACAAGAAAGGAGAAGGTTGAGATGAAACCAGAAAGGAGAATGTTGAGGTTGTCAGGGTTCCAAGTAAGACCCCAACGAAAGAAGACTCTGAGGCTTGAGGTTCCTCAAAGTTCAATTTTATTAGAGATGTCATATTGGCACATCTGGAAAAACCCGAATCTGAAAGCTTCCAGGTTTTCCCCACCCAAAGGAAAGTCCAAGTCCCTGCCCAGCATCCACATGTCCATCTCATGGTCCAATCAAAGCATCGTTCCAACTGGAGATGCCTCCCAGTCCCAGCCCTCCAGGTACAGGGCAAGATGTCCTTGACTCTCAGAGAAAGGAATGTTGTTTTGACTACGTATCACCCTTGCTCCATACAATCCCCCCTCCCAGTTTCCCACAGTAGTAAATGTGGCAGGCCTGAAGGCCCAATGCAAAAGATGGCTTCCAGGCCTGACAGAGGTGATATCAGAAAAGAGAAAGTTGAGATGATACCAGAAAGAAGATTGAGATGATACCAAAAGAAGGCGGCACGTTTTGCTGTTGTCTTCAAACTTCCCTGTGCATTTCTTTTCTCCTGCCACTTTTCATTCTTGGTGCTCCTTAGCAGCACCACAAGTCCTTCTACCGTGCCTGAGATGATAGTCCCTTGAATTCCCAGCAAAAGCTTCCTCTTCCACAGTTGTTTTGCTCTTTGAAGATGCTAAGGGCCCTTTGTTCAGAGGTGAAATGCTCCCGGTTCGGACCGGATTGCCCGATCCGGTAGTGATGGCGGCGGGTGGTTCGGAGAACCGGTAGCAAAAATCCCTGCACGCGCCCCCCCCCATGCTCAGCTGAATCGCACAATCATCAGAGGCTTTTTTTTTTACATTTAAAAGCATTTTTTCTACAACCTCTTCCGACGAAAAAATGCTTTTAAAAGTAAAAAAAAAAAACCTCTGATGATTGCGCGGCTCAGCTGGGATCCTCAGAGGCTTTTCAAAGCATTTTTTTCTGCAACCTCTTGGCCGAAAAGGTGGTACAAAAAATGCTTTGAAAAGTCTCTGACGATCCCAGCTGAGTTGCCTGATCGGCAGAGGCTTTTCAATGCATTTTTTAAAATGCGTCTCTGACGATCCCAGCTGAGTTGCCTGATCGCCAGAGGCTTTTCAAAGCATTAGAAAAAATGCTTTGAAAAGTTTAAAAAAAAAAAAAAAGTTGGTCACGTCCACCCAGTCACATTACATCCCCCCCCCCAAGCCACGTCCACAGAACCGGTAGTAACGCATTTTACATTTCACGCCTGCCTTTGTTCCCTTTCCCCCAGGAGGAAGGCTGACCTGGATCAGAGTGATGGAGAGGAAGACTTTTATTACACCGAGCTGGACGTCAACGTGGATTCTTTGACCGACGGTCTCTCCAGCCTGACCCCCGTCTCCCCAACCTCCCCGGTGCCCCCTCCCTTTCCAGTCCTGGAGGAGGTCCAGAAAGTTCTGCCTATTCCACTCAACCCCAAGGTTTCCGTGGTGTCTCACCTGAGCCAATCGGCACCCTTAAACCTCCTGAGCCATTCGGCACCTACCGGCTTGGGACACATCCAAACCGATCATGCCTATCAGGTGCGTCATCTAAAGGAGCCTTTCCGGCCAGATCAATGTCCACCAGATCCACATGTGAAGGATTCAAATTGATCACTGGTAGTCCTTGATTTACAACCAGAGGTGGTATTCAGCCGGTTCTAAATGGTTCTGACGAACTGGTAGCGGAAATTTTGAGTAGTTCGGAGAACCGGCAAGTACCACCTCTGGGTGGCCCCGCCCCCATCTATTCACTGCCTCCCAAGTCCCAGCTGATTGGCTGAGTCTTCTTTTGTTGCCCTGCACAGAACGGAGCTGGAAAGCAGGTCAGTGGGGTGGGGAGGGAATGGAGATTTTGCACTATCCTTCCCCTGCCACGCCCACAGAATCGGTAGTAAAAAAAATTTTTGAATCCCACCACTGCCTACGACCACAATTGAGCCCGGAGATTTCCGTTGCTAAACGAGACATTTGTTAAGCGAATTTTGCCCTATTTTATGACCTTCCTTGCCCCCCCCCCCCGTTGTTAAGTGAATCAGTGCAGCTGTTAAGTTACTAACACGGCTATTCAGGGAATCCGGCTTCCCGCATTGACTTTGCTCGTCAGAAGGTCGCAAAAGGGAATCGCGTGACCCCTTGGACACTGCAACCGTCATGAATATGGACCAGTTGCCAAGCGTCTGAATTTTGATGACGTGTGTGTCAAGGTTCAGGACTGCAAAGGTCATAAGTGTGAAAAACGGTCATAGGTCACTTTTTCGATGCTGTTGTAACTTTGAATGGTCACTAAACAGATGTAAGTCAAGGACTACCTGTACTTTGTTATTTTCTGCCTATAATATAAGAATCTTCCCAAGCTGCTTGCCATCTCTTGGGAACAACCAGATAAGGTTCCATGGAACTTGGAGGAGGGCCAGATCGAAGTCTCTTGCGGCTATCCAACGATTCAAGGCTACTTCCCTGCTTGATGCCTCCCCCTTTCCTTGATCGGCAAAGTTTCCCAGCATTCGGTTTCCCTTCTGTCTCATTTTGACATTTTGTCTTTTCACTTTCAGGCGATGGGTCCTACCGGGGTGCTGGCGGATCTGAAGGCTCCCCCAGCTGGGATGGAAATCAGCATATCGTGGCAGCAACCAGCCCTTTTCCCACCACCTCTGCCCCCCGTCCTCTTCAAAAGCCCCTCGGTGAGTAACGTGAAGGCCACCCCAAGATTTTTCCTTGTTAAGAAGAGAGTTGATTCGAGAGCAAAGTTTAGGAACGTCTAGATGACCCCTTAGATCAGGGGTCCTCAACCTTGGCAGCTTTAAGACTTGTGGACTTCAACTCCCAGAATTCCTCAGCCAGCTTGCTGGCTGAGGAATTCTGGGAGTTGAAGTCCACAAGTCTTAAAGTTGCCAAGGTTGGAGACCCCTGCTTTATATCACACTCCAAACCTGTGGACTTCAATTCCCAGCATTCCTGGGCTGGGAATGCTGGGAGTTGAAGTCCACAGGTCTTAAAGGGGCCATACCTGGGAATGCTGGGAGTTGAAGTCCGCGGGTCTTAAACGGGCATACCTGCCCACCTCCTACCAGTCTTGAGACCAGAAGAGAATTCTGGGAGTTGAAGTCCACAAGTCTTAAAGTTGCCAAGGTTGGAGACCCCCTGCTTTATACCAAACCTGTAGACTTCAATTCCCAGCATTCCTGGGCTGGGAATGCTGGGAATTGAAGTCCACAGATCTTAAAGCTGCCAGGTTTGAAGGCCTCTGCCCTAGATCAACTCCATGGGGGAAGGACATTTCCTCTGGCCCCATGGACAGAAGTTGCCTTCTGTATAATTTATTCACCCCCATACAGGGAATCCTCAACTTACAACCACAATTGAGCCTAAAATTTCTGTTGCTGAAGCGAGAAGTTGTTAAGTGAGTTTTACCCTATTTTACGACCTTTCTTGCCACCGTTGTTAAGCGAAACACCGCAGTAGTTAAGTTAGTAACACGGTTGTTAAGTGAATCAGGCTCCCCCGTTGACTTGGCTTGTCCGAAGGTCACAAACGAAATCATATGACCCTGATACACTGCAACCGTCGTAAATATGAGTTGGTTGTCAAGTAAGTGTCTGAATTTTGATCATGTGACCCTGGGAATGCTGCAATAGGTTGTAAGTGTGAAAACTGGTCATAAATTACTTTTCTCAGTGCTGTTGTACCTTCAAACCAGGGGTGAAATCCAGCAGGTTCTGACAGGTTCGGGAGAACCGGTAGCGGAAATTTTGAGCAGTTCGGAGAACCGGTAGCGGAAATTTTGAGCAGTTCGGAGAACCGGCAAATGTCACCTCTGGCTGGCCCCCGAGTGGGGTGGGAATGGAGATTTTGCAATATCCTTCCCCCAGGAGTGCGGAGGGAATGGAAACTTTGCAATATCCTTCCCCCAGGAGTGCGGAGGGAATGGAGATTTTGCAATATCCTTCCCCCAGGAGTGGGGAGGGAATGGGGATTTTGCAATATCCTTCCCCCAGGAGTGGGGAGGGAATGGAGATTTTGCAGTATCCTTCCCCTGCCACGCCCACCAAGCCAGTAGGGAAAAAAATTGGGATTTCACCCCTGCTTCAAATGTTCACTAAATGAACTATTGTTAAGTCGAGGACTACCTGGCTATATTAATACTATATTATTTCCTGTCTTCTGACTTAGTGGACTGGGTTCTAATTCTCCTGCCCCCTAACTGCTGAAAGATTTGACTCTTTAGAAAAGAAACTTCTCAGCTCAGGATCGAACTGTGGGGTTGGGTCCTTGGTGGTCTCTGAGCTTGGTCGTTTTCATGCACACGTGTCATTACCGAACTAGGGAACATCATCATGGCATTGCTAATGAAACATCTGCAAGAAAACCACGAAGCTCAGAAAGCACTAAAGATTCACAGTCCTCCTCCTCCTCCTTCCCTCCCCCATTCCGCAAACCCTCCTTCTAGCACTGATCATGTTTCCTAGTTGGGTAATGAAACGTCTGCAAGAAAACCACCAAGCTCAGAGAGCACCAAGGACCCCACGGCTGATTTCTTAGCTGCGCCGTTGAGATCTCCTCCCCTTCTCAAATGACCCACTCTCTTCTTCTTCCTCCTCCTCCTCTTCCTCCTCCAGAGCTGCCTGACTCCCATCCGACCTGCCGATTCGGAAGAGAAACGCCTGCAAGGCCCCCCTGTATCAGTTGCCAAAGGACAACCCTTATTGCCCTCTTCCGTGCCAAAGCCTGCAGCAGGCACCAGGTAGGTGGCTGTTCCTTCACATCTTCTCCCCCCCCCCCCACCCTCCCCAGTCTGGCACCTCCAACCCAGTCTCTCGAGGGCACCAGGGTCACCCAGAGACTGGCTTGGAGGCTGTTCTCCAGGCTTGGCTGAGTCCCTCTGGCTGGACTTTAGAAAGTGTGCTTGGCCACTGCAAGAAGAGTACAAGAAGCCTGGATAGCTCTGCAGACTAAGCACTGTAATTTAACACCAGCTGTCTGCAATTAAAGTAAGTTCGAATCTTGCCAGGCTCAAGGTCGACTCAGCCTTCCATCCTTTCTAAGGTAGGTAAATTGAGGACCTAGTTTGTGGGGGCAATAAGCTGACTTTGTATAAAATATACAAAAGGATGAAGCAGTGGTGAGTTCCTCCCGGTTCGGTCCGGTTCGGCCGAGCCAGTAGCGGTGACGATATGACGTCACCGAACCGGTTCTCCCCCCACCTCCCCCCACGTTATTCTTACCTTTTATTTGGCCCCACCCCCAATCTATTGCTGCCTCCTGAGTCCCAGCTGATGACTAGAGGGAAAAAAACTGTTTAAACTCTTGCCGCGGGGCTTCAAAGGGCCGCCCTACAGCTGATCAGTGTTAAAAGCAAACAAATGAGTCGGGTCGTAAGTGCGAGGACTGGTCGTAAGTGCGAAGACCTTCCAGAAACGACTCTGATCACCTAGCCACGCCCACCTAGTCACATGACCTCCAAGCCACACCCACAAAATAAGCCACGCCCACAGAACCGGTAGTAAAAAAATTTAGAACCCACCCCTGGTATGAAGGCTATTGCTTAACGCACTGTAAGCCACCCTGTCTCCGGAGAAGGGCGACATATAAATCAAATTTAAAAAAGAAGAAGAAGAAGAAGAAAACCCATTGCTTTCTTGGAATAACCGTTCCGCCGGGTGCCACTGGACCTCACCGTCCGTTCCAAATTCACACATTTTTTTTGCCCTTTGGCTCAGAAAGGTGATCTGTCCAAGCCTCTTTTTTTTCTGGTTTTTCTTAGTCCCCCAAAAAACCCTCTTTTATTGAGACGGCTGTGAATTACGGTCATTCACAGCCCGTAACGGTCTCAGTGAAGATTCCGACCGACGTCTGCTCGAGTTGACACAGTCTTTCAGGGTAACGTTGATAAGCACCCACCTTTATCTCCCTTGAAATGCTGCCAGAGACCTAATTGCCAATTAGTTTTGCAAGGCCAAACGGAGCACAGAGTCAAACAGGACTTCTCAGAGCTTGAATTGACTATATAGTTGAGCCTGGATAGCTCAACAGACTAAAAGCCTGTTATTAACATTCAGCTGTCTGCAATTATTGCAAGTTCGAATCTCCCCAGGCTCAAGGTTGACTCAGCCTTCCATCCTTTCTAAGGTAGGTAAATTGAGGACCCAGTTTGTGGGGGCAATAAGCTGACTTTGTATAAATATACAAAAGTATGAAGGCTATTGCTTAACGCATTGTAAGCCGCCCTGAGTCTCCGGAGAAGGGCGGCATATAAATCAAATTTTTTTTAAAAAATGAACTAATTGCTTCCTGCAAAGGCTCACATCTGTTTGCTCCTCTTATATGTCTTATGGGAGGGGCCAATCAACTCCAAGCCTTACTCCTGAGTCACCCTTTTTTTCCTTAATTGTTCTTGCCTTCTGGCAGCTCTGTGCATGCGCACGCTGGGAACAGGCTCACACTGTTCTTCTGCCTCGCTGATGTCAGATTGTGGAGGCTCTGGAGGCAGCAAAAAACTATCAGATGGCCCTGGCCCCCTTTCTGCCTCCGACGCAGAGCCCTCGTCCGAGCCTTCCCCAGACTCCAGGACTGGCCCATGTTCCTCCCCAACCTCCTCACTGTCCGACTCTGCTGCCAGCTCTGCAGGCTGCCAGCGGACCACAACAACCCCAAAGCCTGGTAGTCTTCGACTTACGACCACAATCGAGCCCGAGATTTCCATTGCTAAGCGAAATATTTGTTAAGCGAATTTTGCCCTATTTTACGGCTTTCCTTGCCACCGTTGTTAAGGGAATCAGTGCAGCTGTTAAGTTACCAACACGGCTGTTAAGTGAATCCGGCTTCCCCCATTGACGTTGCTCGTCAGAAGGCCGCCAAAGGGGATCACAGGCCTCGGGACACTGCGACCGTCACTAATATGAGCCAGTTGCCAAGCCTCCGAATTTTGATCACGTGACCGTGGGGATGCTGCAACGGTTGTAAGTGTGAAAAGCGGTCATAAGTCACCTTTTTCGGTGCCATTGTAACGCCGAATGGTCACTGAATGAATGGTTTTAAGTCGAGAAGTAAATACAGAGCAATCTTTTACATCCCTTTTTCCTCAAGCCCATCTTCTCATTTTTTTGATACGGGTAATCAACATACAACCACAATCAGCAGTGGAACTTCTTTTGCTAAGCGAGCTGGTTGTTAAGTGAGTCAAGCTCTGATTTTACACCTCTTTTGCCACGGTTGTTCAGCAAATCACTGCGGTTGTTAAGTGAATCCGGCGGTCCCTAAGCAAACCCAGCTTATCCCACAGACTTTGCTCGTCGGACGCCGGCTGGGACGGTTAAAAATGGCGGTCACATGAGCTCAGGATGTAAATCCATGCCGGTTGCTAAGTGCCCAAATTCTGTTCACGTGACCGTGGGGAATCCTGTGACGGTCATAAGGGCCAGGACTGTCCATAAAACCCTTTCTTTTCAGTTCCGTTGTAACTCTGAAACAACTCTGTAAGTCAAGGACTGCTTGCAATTGAGTTGGGGAATCTTTTTAAAACAAAACAAAACCCCGCTTAATCTCTCCCCTGGTATAGCCAACCAAGTGAGGAGAGCCCTTGGCTTAGAGGTTAATACATGTGCCTAATATAGAGCCTTGGTAGTACAGTGGTCTAAGGCACCCTGTTATTAAGCTGTTATTAAGACCAGCTGCCTGCAATTACTGCAGGTTCGAATCTCGCCAGGCTCAAGGTCGACTCAGCCTTCCATCCTTTCTAAGGTAGGTGAAATGAGGACCCAGATTGTGGGGGCAATAAGCTGACTTTGTATAAATATACAAAAGGATGAAGGCTATTGCTGAGCACATTGTAAGCCGCCCTGAGTCTCCGGAGAAGGGCGGCATATAAATCTAAATAAAATAAAATAAAATAAATAAATAAAAATAATATGCAAGTAGCCCGAGTTCGAATCCCAGAAGGGTATGGCTAGCTGACGAGCGCTAAATAGCTCGAAATTGATCTATACTAGTCTCCCTTTATTTCTTTGACGGTAAAATATAAATTCGACACAAAAATAGTTTGTCGTGAAAGCGACTGCCTGCGAAGGCTCCTGGAACTGGGGCTGAAAGGCGAAAGCGGAAGCAGTATGCTCCGTCCCATATTTGGGCAGACCAAGGTAGCCTCACCAGAAAAAAACGAAAACACGGAGCCCTCGCCAGCTTCCTCCGCCCTCTCAACCGCCTTTCTCTCTGCCTCCTTGCAGGAAGCCGCGTGGCGAAGCCAAGAAATGCCGTAAAGTCTACGGGATGGAGAACCGCAGCATGTGGTGCACGGCCTGTCGCTGGAAGAAAGCCTGCCAGCGGTTCGTCGATTGAGCTCGGGGTGGGCAGGAAGGGGAATCTTCGGCCGCCCTTGGCCTCTCTGTCTGCGTTGCGCGATTTGCACTTTTGGTGCCTTCCAGCCTGATCTCTCCTTGCACCGTCTGCCCCCCCCACCCTTGCCCTGACCCACCTGTCCACTCGCCCCCTTCTCCAAGCTGGGGGGGGGACGCTCTTTCCCAATTGTGCCTTGGCTCAGGAAACCGGAGTTTCTGGGATGAACGGAGTCGGAGGGGGGGTACCCCTTTGCAAAAGGAAGACAAGAGCATGCCTCGCCGACTCCGGCCGGCCGAAGTGTCATCGGGGGAGGGGGGGTGTCTTCTAGATCCTTCTGGACAGCCTCTCTCTTCATCCAGGGATACCTGCCGATCCAAGCCCCTCCGTCGGATTTACCCGCGTCCATCCACACATGTGAAAATTTAAGCCATTGCTTGTCTTTTTGATGGTGTTTATTTTTATTGTTTTCTTACTTCTGAAATAAGCTATGTCTCTCGTCCCCCTTTTTCCTTCACCTGCCACTACGGATCTCCCAACCCTTGTTGAGGTTTGAGACGGCACGAGTTCCAGAAAGTTCTTCGGAGCGGAATTTGTGAAAGCTTTGGACATTTTTCGTTCTCTGGGATGGGAGAGCCAAGCCTGACAGGTTGTGGGGGTTTTTTTGGATACCTGTCCTGCAATATTTTTTTTTTTTTTCCTTTCTTGGTAAGCTTCGGCGTTAAGGACTTTGGAGCAGAAGACAAAAAACAGGCGTTGGAAGGAAAAGAAACGGTCTTTGCTTCCCCTTCACTTTCATTTGCCGGCTGCAAGCAGGTTTCTCTAAAAACTGCTGTTTCCCCCTCGATTTAAATTCCGTTCGGAAGCCGAACGTCCGGCCAAAGAAATGGCTGAAGGGGGGAAAAAATACAAACCTGTCAGAACGTCAGAGAAACGTTAAAAGTTCTTTTTTTGCTTTCTGTTTCTTTCCAATCTCGGGGAGTTTTCAGATTTTTTTTTTTTTAATTCCCTCCCTCCATCCTCCCCCAAAAATATTCCCTTCCCAAATGGTGCCTGCCAAAGAAAGGCTCGCTTTATAGGAAATGTTTTTCCTCTGCAAACCGTCTTGTGAATGGAAATGTTAAGTCTGTCGCAAGGAATAAGCTATGCGCCAAAAAATGTAGCCTGACCAATTTGCAACCTGGACTGAATTTACATCCAAGCCGACTCTTGACAGCAGGGAGAAAAAAATTGCCGATTTCCCTTATGTGCAATCCCAGGTTTTTGTTTTTGTTTTTTTAAAAAACACATTTTACACAATGGGGTGATGGGATGTTTCTGTCTGCTGTCATAGCTTTTTCCCCGATCTAAAACAGCAAAGATAGAATATCGGCAAGATTTCCCACTCTGCTCTTCCGTTCCCCTTAAAAGAAAAAAAAGGCCCATATTAAAAGTCAATTTTGGAATTAGGATATTTTTTTTTAAAAAAAGAAAGAAAATCAGCCGTGGAGAAAGATTAATCAGTGTTGAACTTTGGAAGTGGGGTTAAGTTTTGTTTAAAGCCATTTCTGTGGATTTTGTGGCCCCTTGGAGGACTTTTGGGGAGTTTCGGAGTGGCGGGTTCAGCATCCGGCATGAAGTTTGCTGCTTTTGCTTTTAAAAGTCACCAGAGGGTGGCGCTGTGAGATCAGTTGAAGTCTCTCTAGCAAAATATTTCTCAACTTTGGCCACTTTTAAGATGGGTGGACTTCAACTCCCAGAATTCCGCAGCCAGCATGGCTGGCTGTGGAATTCTGGGAGTTGAAGTCCACCCATCTTAAGTCACAAAGGCTGAAAAACACTGCTCTAACCCAATGTATTTGGCTTTAAACGGGATATATATCCACGCATCTCTCCACCCTTGCACAAAATGAATGCTATATAAGCCAGCCACCCTCATATTTTTAACGGTAGAGGCTCCTAAGAGAACGATGCCTGGAAGTTTTACAAATCTTGCACACCTAAAACCTCCTGCCTTGATTCCCTTCCGTCTCCATGGCTGTTTAGTGAGCTTGTCTCTAAAAAGGAAAACCTGAGCCACCGTGCCAGTTCTGCTCCGTCACCGAATTCCACTTCCGTTTAACCTCACCAGTCATATTTCCATGCACCTGTCTTTTACTTACGGCACCTTGTGACACCTGGAGATGCTTTTTTTTTTTTTTAATTATCTTCTGCAAACAATAACAACCAAAAGTCTTGTTTGTGTTTTTGGTGGAAATACCCGATTCGGAAGACCCGCAAACTGAAGAGAGGCTTTCCGAGACCAAACGGCCCCAGGAGATCGGTCCCCGCTGCAACGATCCTCGAGTGTTGGTGGCAAGCGTTGGATTGTGTTCGGCAGCGTGCACTCGCCAGAAATGAGACTGCGGGGAAAAAAGACCTCTCCGGATTACTACTTCTTTGCACTAATTGCAAACTGCACAGGGGTTTTTTTTAAAAAAACTTTTCCTGCCTCCCAATTTTCTATTCTGTCCCACTGAAGCCAATATTAGCCAGATTGGTATTTTAACCATCGTGTTGATTTCTGCGTGTGTCGGGTGGGGGTGGGGGAGAGACTAAACTTTCTGCTTCCAACGCACAACCTTGATGTGTCTTCGGAGGACAGGTTTCCACGAAAGCATTAAAACTTTTTAAAAACCTCCCTTTTTAAAGGTCTTTTTCTTGGAGGGGTCCTTGGTGCTTCCCGAATTTGGTTGTTTTCTTGAGACCTTTCATCGCCCAAACTTGGTACGTCATCAGTGCTAGTGCTAGGTGATGTAATGTATTTTGGGTAATGAAACTTCTGCAAGGAAACGGCCAAGCTCAGAGAGTACCAAGGACTCCATTTCAATCCTGAGCTGCAAATATTCCCCTTTATTGGCTGTATTCCCACCATCAGATCCACCAGCACTGGGTGTCCTCTGGAGGAGTTAGGATGTTCCCAACCCATCTGGATACCAAGTTGGGAATTGCTCTGCCAAGCAAACTGGTCCTTTCCTTCTCTTTTTTTTCGCCCATTTTTTAAAGCTTTGCTCTGCAGTCTGGTGGCTGCACCAAAACCGGCAAAAAGTCCTTCGACCACGATTGTTAATTTTGGAGATAATCAACTCTTGCTGTCTGCCTGCATCCCGTGGCCTCTTTTTTCTTTTTGGGGAGGGCTTTGCCGTCATCCTATTGCAAACCTATTTAGCAGTGTGTCCTATCAAATGCAGAAAAAACGCAGTTCTGGGAGCGAGTTGGACGTTGGCTTTGCAAGGATGCGTAACGAGCGAACGAACTTTTCGTTTCTGTTAATTCAGGAAGCTTTCTATGTACACTTATCCCAGATGTACGCGCACACCTACTTTTGAATTGGTAAAAAAAAAAAAAAATACAGATTATTATTTTTAACTGTACGAGTCTTGTAGGCTTTACCGTTTGATCGTTGGCCTAGAATTTGGGATCAAGCCTCACTATTGCTAGGAGCGTTCCAATCGGCAAGGAAATTCCACGGGGGGAACTGGATTCGGTTAACAACCGTGTTACTAACTTAACTGCTGAGAGTCCTTTAATAACTGTGGCAAGAAAGGATGTAAAACGGGGCAAAACTCATAGCTGCCTTGCCTAGCAGCGGGAATTTTGGGCTCAATTGTGGTTGTAACTCAAGGACTGTGTCAGTCAGATCCAGCGGCCAGTGTGCAATAAGACAATTTTCAGCCACAATTGGGAGCAGAATTTCCATTGCTAAGCAGTTTGTTCTTAAGTGAGCCATGCATGATTTTACCACCTTTTTTTTTGCCATGGTAAAGTGAGTGCGGTTAAGTGGACCATACAGTCGTTAAGCGAATCCAGCTTCCTTTGTTGACTTTGCTTGAAAACTGGCTGGGTCATAAAGATGCTGACAGGACCCCAGAATGCTGCAACTGTTATACATACATACATGCTAGTTGCATGGCCATAAAATATTGAAAATGTCATGAATGCAAGCAGATTGCCAAGCTCATGAGCATTGGGGGGGGGGGGGGGGCAGCAATTTCCAATCCAGATCAGACCATTTTTGGAGTCCGTCGTAACTTCAGTTGCTAGGTGAGCAGTCATTAAGCGAGGACTACCTGTACATTTAAAAAAAAAATTGAGGCTTTGCTGCAGGGGTGAAATGTAAAATTTGTTACTACCGGTTCTGTGGGCGTGGCTTGGTGGGGGAGTAATGTGACTGGATGGGTGTGGCCAACTTTTTTTTTTTTAACTTTTCAAAGCATTTTTTTCTAATGCTTTGAAAAGCCTCTGCCGATCAGGCAACTCAGCTGGGATCGTCAGAGACTTTTCAAAGCATTTTTTTTACCACCTCTTCGGCCAAGAAGCTGCAGAAAAAAATGCTTTGAAAAGCCTCTGACGATCCCAGCTGAGCCGCGTGATCATCAGAGGCTTTTTTTTTACTTTTAAAAGCATTTTTTCGTCAGAAGAGGTTGTAGAAAAAATGGTTTTAAAAGTAAAAAAAAAAGCCTCTGATGATCGTGCGGCTCAGCTGGGCTTGGGGGGCGGGGGGGGGCTCAGGGATTTTTGCTACCCGTTCTCCGAACCACCCGCTGCCATTGCTACCAGATCCAGCGATCCGGTCCGAACCGGGAACATTTCACCCCTGCTTTGCTGATATTTTAATAGTGCAGTTCTATTCCTCGTGTAATATGAAATGAGTCCTATTGAATTTGGTAGGGTTTACTCCCAGGTAAGTACAGCTAATTCTCGACTTACGACCACAATTGAGCCCAAAATTTACCTTGCTCAGTGAGCCATTTTGGTAAGTCAGTTTTGTCCCGTTTTACGATCTTTCTTGCCACAGTTATTAAGTGAATTGCTGCAGTCGTTAAGTTAGAAACACCATCGTTAAGTGAATCCAGCTGCCCCCCCATTGACTTTGCTCATCCGAAGGTCGCAAAAGGGGATCACGTGACCCCCGGGGATACCGCGACCGTCATAAATACGAGCCAGTTGCCAAGTGTTGTGAATTTTGATCGCAGGGATGCTGCCACGGTTGTTAAGTGCAGAAAAAATGATCAGAAGTCCCTTTTTTCCAGTGTCGTCGTAACTTTGAACCGTCACTAAGTAAACTGTTGTAAGTCGAGGACTACCTGTACAGTATACATTGCACCTCCTTATTAGTTCTTGAATCAAGATTCAATAATGCGAGTGACTTTCGGCGGCAGGAAAGACAGCTGCTATTTTTGAACTGATGGTTTCTTAAGAATAAATTTATCGTAGGATTAGATACCAAAGGAAACCGATTTAGGTGGTGTTAAAAATTAAATATGGTTAAGAGAGTTAATTCCAGATCCTGGAGAGAAATTTCCTTCACTATATTTGGGATAACTTCCAGATGTGTAGATTTAAGCTCCCAGAATTCTCGGGAGATAATCCTGCTGGTTGGGGAATTCTGGGAGTTGAAGTCTGTAGTACAGGTGGCACTTGACTTATTCATTTAGTGGCTGTTTAAAGTGACAACGGCACTGGAAAAAACCGCCTTATGTCCATTTTTCGCACGTAATGACCACTTTATGACCCCCCCCCATGATCATGTGATCAACATCCAGATGTTTGGCAACCGATTCATACTTAATGACCACTGCTGTATCCCAAGGCCGTGTGATTCCCTTTTGCGACTTTTTGACAAGCACAGTCAATGGGGAAGCCAGATTCACTTAACAGCCTTGTTACTAACTTACAAATGGCACTTAACAACTGAGGCAAAAAAGGTCGTAAAATGGGGCAAAACTCACTTAATAAATGCCTCGCCTCAAAACAACATAAATTTCGGGCTCAACTGTGGTCATAAGTCGAGGACTACCTATATAGCAATAGCACTTAGACTTATATACCGCTTCATAGTTTACATATGCTTACAGCCCCGAGTGGTTTACGGAGTCAGCCTCTCGCCCCCAACGATCCGGGTCCTCATTTTACCGACCTCAGAAGGATGGAAGGCTGAGTCAACCTTGAGCCGGTGAGAATCAAACTGCTGGCAGTCGGCAGAATTAGCCTGCAATACTGCATTCTAACCACTGCGCCACGGTATTAAGAATTTTGGGAGTTGAAATCCACAGGTCTTAAAAGTCACCCGTGATCAAGGCCAACCCGCTACTTGGTGCAGGACTGAATACAATATTCTCTGTTAGTTGCCCATCCAATCTTAGTTTGAAGCAGGGGTGAAATGCTCCCGGTTCGGACCGGCTCGGGTGAGTAGGTAGCGATGATGGCCGGTGGTTCGGAGAACCGGTAGCAATGGCAGCTGGAGGCTCCGCCCACCCGTTCCATTCCCCGGACTCGGGGAATGCACCATTCCCGGACTCCTCCCGCGTCTGGCTCTCAGGGAAGGCAAGTGCCCGAAAGGTACCGGAGTCGCTCACTCTCCTTGGATGAGCCGCCCTGGTCCGTGCGCTGGCACATCCAACCTGCCGGTGAATTAAATAAACTCTGCGCTTGCGCAGCCGGCGTGTGGATCAGAGCGGCTCATTCAAGAAGGAGAGTGAGCGACTCCGGTACCTTTCGGGCGCTTGCCTTCCCTGACAGCCAGACGCGGGAGACAGATGAGCAGTAGGAGTCCGGGGAATGGGGCGGATGGACGGAGCTGCGGGAGAAATTTAAAAAGTTTTCCTACTGGGTTCTGTGGGCGTGGCTTGGTGGAAGGGGGTCTTGTGACTGAGTGGGCGTGGCTATGAGTGACATTGAGTTGGCCATGCCCACTCAGTCACATGACACCCCCCCCACCAAGCCACTCCCACAGAACCGGTAGGGAAAAAATTTAGATTTCACCCCTGGTTTGAAGGATAACTTGTTATCTGGATTCATACTACTTTGGCTTCTCCCAAAGAGCTTTGGTAGTACAGTGGTCTAAAGCACCCTGTTATTAAGACCAGCTGCCTGCAATTACTGCAGGTTCGAATCTCACCAGGCTCAAGGTTGACTCAGCCTTCCATTCTTTCTAAGGTAGGTAAATTGAGGACCCAGTTTGTGGGGGCAATAAGCTGACTTTGTATAAATATACAAAAATATGAAGGCTATTGCTTAGCGCATTGTAAGCCGCCCTGAGTCTCCGGAGAAGGGCGGCATATAAATCAATTTTTTTTAAAAAAAAAACTCAAATTCTACGTTCTCAATTTTTTGAAAGGAGCTAGCAAGGGGAAAATCACACAAACATACACACACACACAACACTGGCAGGGCAAGCTATTGAATATATAAACAGAGAGCAAACCCCACTCCCTTCTAACACTGATGATGTTATCGAGTTGGGTCATGAAAGGTCTGCAAGAATGTTCAGAGAGCACGAAGGACTCCACAACTAAATGGCAAAGCTTGGGGAAATTATGAAAAAGAAATACAGTGAAATTGTAAACACCAACACATTTTAGCAGCAATGTCCTGATTTATTGAAAGTGACTTTTTTTTTTTTTTTGCATTGAAGTTAATCCCATGACAAAATATAATCAGACAGGCAGACAGTGAGTGTTTCTCATCCTGGACAAATTTTAAGATTTCAATTCAACTGGCTGGCTGGGGAATTCTGGGAGTTGGAAATCCATCTCTCTTAAAAGTTGTCCGCATTGAGAAACACTGATCTAGACACACAAAGTTTGAAATGGTTTAGAAAACAAACCCAGTTACCTGAACTATGGGGGGGGGGGGA